CAATTTAGCAAAACTGTTGATATTTGATTGATTTGTATATTTGTGCATAGATGACACCCCTTTGGTGCCTATTTTAATACAATTCACACTTTATATTTAAAGAAAAAAATTAGAAAGTGCAAAATCATTTGAAGCCCACAACAAAGTCTAATTCGTTTGACATGAGATCCAACACCCGCAATTAGCACATAACAAAAACCACAAGACCCACTTTATGACTTGAGCTACAAAATCCAAAATTCACATCAGAGTAACTATTGGTTCCATCTTAACAATCTTAATCTGACTCGTTAGTCGTCAAACACTATTCCATGACACCCTTCCTAGAGAAATAAAATTGGCCATACATTGCCAAATAAAATTCCACAAGAATCACTTTAAAAATGTCATCAAACGGTTCTGAATTTACACCCATCTATAGGGTTATAGCAAAACATTATAAGATGTTGTACTGTAACATTCTCCTTACTAAAGGTGCTTGCAAAGAGAAGTTACAAGATATATATATATATATATATATATATATATTACCTTAACAATGCTGTGTTGATTTTGAAGAGATGAAGAAGATTCTCCATTCAGGAGACCCAGAAAAGGCCATCTTTCTCTGCTAAGCGACTCCCATATATAATCCGACCCGCATAGCTCGCTCCAGAACCGAGAACAACTACCCAGTGCACACACATCCTTTACCTGCTTATCAATCGACCCAAAAAGTAAGAAAACTCAAATTTTCAGAAGAATAACTAAAGAAAACAACCCTGCAAACCCTAAAACAGTAAGAACCTGGAGGGAAGAAGCAATTTTGAGGGCTACATCATTGGGGATCGAAGTTCGAATGTATTCTAATTGATTCATTCTTAGTTAGCTCTACCTTCGTTTTCTTCTAGATTTTGTCGATTCTTTTCTTAAAAAATTTAGAAATGGAATCATCAGATACTTTGGATATAACGACCATCTCATCAGGTTCATGATTGGACAAGAAATAATGTAGGGTATCCAAAAAGACAAAAGGTGTTCATGTAGAGCCAGTAGTTTTATGCCACGTCACTCGAGCGGGAGGCACTGACCATCGTGAATCGTCCGATTATAAGATAATAATATACTAATCAGACGGCTATCAATCATCTGATAAGGCCTATTAAGGCCCAATGTTTTTTGCATATAAGATAAGGGTAGATATAACAAAATAAAAAATTGAATAAAAATAACGGTGTTATTCTGTAACGACTCCGAAAATTTAAAAGTAAATATACAATAATTTAAGTGCGGAAGCGAAATAAAAGATTAAAGTTTACTTTTTTTACATAATAACTTAAAAGTACTAAACAACATTACAGAATTAATTTTCTGAAAGAAATACGAGAAATAAGAAAAACAACAGAAAATAGAAAATATATAGCATTTACTCGCAATTTTCTTGCAGATTGGGCTCTGGAACCAGATCCTCTTAATATGAAATGGTTAAATAAAGGATGAGTTACACTAAACTAGTAAGAATATCACATTATATCACCGGCACAGAAGTAAAGGTTGTTATAAAATTAAAAACTACTAATAGAGCATTAAATTTAGTAAATTCATTTATCAATCATAAAATCATTTCTCATTCACTTACCATAGTGAAATTTATAAAAAACAACTCATAAAAAATAACAATACCATACAGATCATAATTTCGTGAACCATCAGTAACATATAACGTATTATAAATTCATATCTATTAACAATAAATCAAACCATAACTGTTTCTCTTTTCACTAGCCTATTAGTATTTATGGGGGTTTATAGAGATGTCCTTGCTACACGTGAACCATTTCCTTTAACAATCTCAATTACAGGGCTGTCCTCATATCATGTTTGGTATGAGCGCCAAAATATTAAACCTCAATATTCCGTCCGGTATGAGGGTGAAGCGGGCCGTTCCCATACCCCGTCCGGTATGAGTGCCAAATTATTCAGTCTCCATACCCCGTCTGGTATGAGACAACGTTCATGGTAGAGTTCCCTATGTACCCGGTCTGTCAACCTTCTCCCAAGATATATGGTAAGATTGCCTTTTCATCTAATAATTTAATCATACAATTTCTTTACCGTTTAAACTTTATTTTTCTCGATTCAGCAATAAACACGTAAAATAGACCATACATGCATTCAAAGCGATAAAATAAATAAATAAAATACCATAATGCAGGTAAACTATAAAAGCAATCAACAACAGCAGTAGATAATTTTCAGTTCCGGCTCCATTATCAACCCGTAATTAATTATGCATGTTTACTAAAATCGCACAAAATACCACATTATTATTTATTTAAACTTCGATTCTATGATAGGGAATAGGGTGATGGATCCTTACTCGATTTGACGCCGAAAAGCTAAACGATTTACTGCGCCTATGGGCGGTTTCTGGGTTCCATGAATTTTTCTCAGAGAACTGAAACGCGCTTATAGTACCTATAAATGTTCTAAATAAACCCAAAATCAGTCCCATGCCCTATTCGGCCAATTTTAAAAATCTGGCACGGCGGTTTCGCCGTGCTTCAGCGACGGTGTAGTCGCCCGCGGCGGCGATTTGCCTCGGGTAGGCCAATTCTGCATCGATTCCTGTGAGCAAACACGTTAAAGGATCTCAGTTGGCTGAAAAAATACAAAAAATCAAAATTTACCGACAGCGGGGCTCTCCGGCGTGGCAGCTCCTCTGGCTCACGTTGTGGTTGAGTGTTTCGTTTCGGTCAACATGTAGAGAAGCAAACGGTGATCACAATGGTGGAAAAATTATGCAAAACGGGAATCAGAAAGGAGTTCATCGGAGGTGGTTTGTGAAATTCTCCGCGGCGCCCTACTGGGTTTCATCGGTGTTTTTGGGCCAATTGACCGGTCTTTTCACTCCGATTTGGCCATGGGTGAACTTAAAATTAAATTTCTTGCAAAAAGGAAAGTTTTTACCTTTTTTGGCGGTCGGAAAGGGTTCCGTTGCGGCGGCGGGTGGCAGCGGTCGGCTCCCTGGTGGTTGGGTCGTCTTCTCCGGCGAGGGGTTCTGGCGGCTAGGGTTAGAGTTTGGTGCGGATGAGGTTATTTATATCTATCTGCTTTTGATCTGGATCGTGCATCGTATTTGATCTGGACCGTCTGATCGCGATTAAATAAGGAGTAAATATATACCGTTCATCGCGATCCAATCTGAACCATCCATCGCGATTCACTTTGGACTCTCTGATCGCGTTGAATTTGACTGTTCGATCGCGTTTGGGAGGGAGCACATACAGGTCGTCCGTGCGCGCAGGAACAGACCTCAGCCGTTTGATCGCGAGCACGCAGATTGCCCACGTGGCTCCCCCCGCGTGGCCTCCCGCATCAGCATCTCTGTCACTTGGCGCGTCCTGGTTGGTACGGGCTGCTGATCTGGTGTCTGACGTGACAAAACTTTCTAAAATTGCGTTTTGGCCCATGTTTTCTAATTGTTTTTTCAAAAATACCTACAGAATCCAAATTTTCACAACTTTTTTCCAAAATTATTTTTAATTAAATCATCCTTCAATTTTATTTCATTTTTTTACTCTAAATTAAATAAAACAAAATTATTAAAATAAAATAAATTAATATATTTATTAATTATTTAATCACCACAAAAAAATTTTGTGGGTGTTACATATTCGAAGTTGATTATATGTTCAATTCAACTTAAATGTTATGATTAATTTACTAAGATATAGAAATTAATTATATAATAATTAACATATATGAAAAGAATTTATTAGTACCCAAAAAGGAAAAAAAAAATCAAATCACATCCCAAAAAATTTATTAGTGCATCCCCCCCTTAGTGACCATTTTATCAATTCATATATCTCACTTAATTTTTATCATATCTATATTAAAACTGAGCTTCAATATAGCAAAGTGATATATATTTCCTAATGTTTTAATTCAAAAATATTGTGTTTAAATAAATGATATACTTTAATAAAACAAGTTATTTGATGGCTTATCTCATAAATTAAGATGTGTATATATTGGATGCCAGTTTTGGTAAATTAAGATTTCCTTTTCTATATAATTTCAAAAACAAATCTTATAATAAATGTCAAGTAATTTGTATATTTACCAAATACACAGCAAATTTATTAGTACCCAAAAAGGAAACAAAATCATGTAAACGGCTCAAAGAATTTATGAGTATATCCCCACTTAATGACCATTTTAGGAAAATAATCCAAAGTTACCAATTTTAAATTTTAAATTATAATTTTCTTAAAAATATTAATGAGAACATGATTCTATATAAAGTGGATAGATATAATTGAAGACAACAATCTCATTAGATAATAGAGATAATAGAAGAGAACCTTCAGAGCGAGAGAAATGACAATTTTGAGTTATCATTCTTTTGTCAGAGTAGTTTTATTAATTGTTTTAATGCAGAGTTTCAGTTATAGTAAAGTAATGGTTCAGTGCGAGTCTAGCCTTCGTGAATTAGAGGCAAAATGCAAAAAGTTCGTTAAGATTTCAGGACCAAAAGTTTATCCATCAGCTGAATGTTGTGATATCATAAAAACATTGGATATTCCGCGTTTTTGCAAGTACATAATACCTATCATTGAGAAAGATATCAGCATGGAGAAAGTAGTTTATGTTGTAAGAACTTGTGGCATCCCACTCCAAGCCGGAATGAAGTGTGGAGGTAAGTTTGTTATTTTTATTAGTGAAATAGAAATTGTAATTGATAATTTAAATTTTAACCCAATTTTTTTTTTTTTGTGTTTTTTTATAATAAGAAACATAACTACGAATATCTATTTATTTAATTGAAATCGTTGAATTTTTTTTATTATTAATACTATTAAATGTGATTGATACAGATTATACAATTCCACCGGTGCAAAATAAAAGGGCATAGGATGAAGCTATTTCTGGAGGAAACTTATGGATAAAAGTAATTTGGTATTATCAATAAATTAGAGACGTTAATCATTTTGTGTACTTCATGTATTTAAATTTTATTTTTGAGAATATACAAAAATATTATTTTATAATAATAAAATATTCTATTTACTTAAGAATATTTGTAACAGTCCCGGAAATTCAAAAGGAAATATATATAATAATTTGAGTGCGGAAGCGAAATAAAAAGTTAAGGTTAACATCCCTTACACGATAACTTAAAAGTACTAAACAAACATCACGGAATAAATTCTCTGAAAGAAATACGAGAAATGAGAAAAATAAAAGAAACTATAAAGTATCTAGTATCTACTTGCAGTCTTCTTGCGGATCGGGCTCGGGAACCAAGTTCTCCTGATCTGAAATGGTTAAATAAGGGGTGAGCTACACTAGTCCAGTAAGGATATCATACTATATCACTGGCACATAAGTAAATGTTGGTAGAAAACTAAAAACAACCAATTGAGCACTAAATTTAAACCAACACATTAATTAAAAGTAAAACCATTTACCATTTTACTTACCATTGGGGAATCTGTAAAAAAAACCTATAAAGATAATAACATCATACAGATCATAATTTCATGTACAATCAGTAACATAGAACATATCATAAATTCATATTCATTAACAATAATTAATCATCAGCGTTTCTTGTTTCACCAGCTTACTAGTATCTATGAGGATCCATAGGGGTGTCCCCGCTACACGTGAACCCTTTCTCTTAACAATCTTAATTCTATGACCGTCCCCATACCCCGTCCGGTATGAGTGCCAAAACATTAAACCTCAATATCCCATTCGGTATGAGGGTGAAGCGGGCCGTCCTCATACCCCATTAGGTATGAGCGCCAAATGACCAAGTCTCCATACCCTGTCTGGTATGAGACAACGTTCACGGTAGGGTTCCTTATGAACCCGGTCCGTCCACCATTTCCCAGGATATCTAGTGAGGCTGTCACCTCATCTGTTTATTAGATCACATCCCTTTCCTGTTTTTTTTTTTAATCTCTGTTACCAAATTAAATACAATCACATAAACAATGAACATGCACCCGATAATGCAATCATATCTTAATCCCCAAATCACACAGTGATCAAGTAAGACAGTAATACATGCATTTAAATCCTAAATCAGATACATCATGCCTTTAAACTGTAAATAAATCAACATAAATTAATAGAGAACAATGTCCGATTCGGCCTCCATTAGCAATCCATAATTAATTATGCATATTTATATAACTTTTACAAAAGACCATATTATTATTTATTCAAACTTCACATTTATGATAGGAAATAGGGTGAGGAGTCCTTACCTGATTCGACATCGAAAGCTAAATGGTTACTGCGTTTACGGGCGGTCTTTGGGTTCCATGAATTTTTCTTCGGGAACTGAAACGCACCTACGATACCTACAAATATCCCAAATAAACCCCAAAATCAGTCTCAGGGCCTACTCGACCAATTTTGGAAATCCGATACGGCAGCTCCACTGTGCTCCAGTGACAGCGACAGCGACGTCGCCCGCGTCGGCGATCCGCCTCGGGTTTGCTGTTTTCGGCCGAATTCAGCAAAACTTGCATCGGTTTTTGAAAGAAAACACACTTAGGGCTCTTAATTGGTCCAAAAGATGTAGAAAACCGAAACTCACTGGCGGTGGGGCTCTCTAGTGCAGCGGTTCCTCCGGCTCACGTTGCGGTTGGGTGTTTTGCTCTGGTCAACCTGTAGAGAAGGAAACGGTGATCACAACGATGAAAAAATCACATCGAATGGGAATCGGAAAGGGCCTCATCGGAGGCATTTTTCGAAATACCCCGCGGTGGCGTCGCCGGGCTTTGCCAGCGTTTTTATACCAATTGGCCGGTCCTTTTACTCTGATTTTGTTATGGATGTATTTAAATCAAATTTTGAGCAAATAGTAGAATTTTTACCTCGTTTGGCGGTCGAAAATTGCTCCGGTGCGGTGGGGGGTGGCGTCGGTCGGCTCCCCGGCGGGGGGCTCTGGTGGTTAGGGTTAGGGTTTGGGTGCGGGTGTTGTTATTTATACCTATCCGCTTTTGATTTGGGCCGTCCATCGCATTTTATCTGGACCGTCCGATTGCAATTAAATAGGAAGTAAATATGGACCGTTCATCGTGATTCAATCTGGACCATCCGTGCGCGATTCAATCTGGGGCATCCGTGCGCGATCTCAATCTGGACCGTCCGTGCTCGCGGGAACGGGTCTCAGTCGTTTGATCGCGTGCACGCGAATTGCCCACGTGCCTCCCCCCTGCGTGGCCTCCCGCGTCAGCGTCTCTGCCACCTGGCGCATTCTGGTTGGTCGGAACTGGTGACTGGGCATCTGACATGGTATAATTTTTTTAAATTGCGTTTTGACCTCTGATTTCTAATTTTTTTTTCAAAAATACCCATAGAACCTAAATTTTCACCATTTTTTTTCAAAATTGTTTTCAATTAAATCTTTAACTAATTTTCACCTTTATTATTATTATTATTTTTATTACATTAAATTAAAATAAAATAAATTAAATGAAATTTAATTAATAAATAATTATATTTATAAAAAAAATAAAAAAATAAAAAAATGTTGGGTGTTACAATATTAATTTTTATTTGAGTTTAAATTTTATACAACTTTGTTGTAAATCAATTAATCTATATGTTGTTTACATTCAAAATTCAGCATAGAGTATGAATCAAGTGGTATGGAGGAGATGAGTCGGCAGCCTCAATTTGACAATCACAATAGATTATTAAGATTATTATAATAATCTCCTTCATATCCAATATTAACAATTGAAACTATATGGAAGAATGATAAAAATCACAATACCAAAGAAATAATTTAAGGAGCAATATATGCTAAAGCGAAAAATTAGTAAACTAAATTCATCAAACATAATATAAGAAACGAACTTGTAAGATAGCCTTAGAATTGAAGGCCTTGGAAATGGTTGCTTAAGAAGTTAAGGGATTCTCTATAGAATTTATTTTGTACTTTTTTTTAGAATAAAAAATTTCTAATAATATTATAAATTCGTATTTTAAGTCTCTTATTGCTTTAAATTGTAAGATTTGTTTCAAAATAAATTCAATGAATATGTTTTCATTTTTAAAATTTGATGAAGTTGGAAATGAATATGAAATTTTGAGGAAAAATAAAAATATTAAATTAAATGTTTACAAAGTAATATAACTTGCCTCGTATGTTACAATAAATTGAAAAACAGAGTTTGGTTTGACTTTATATATATATATATATGTGTGTAAGGAACACTCATAATTTTATTTTATTATTTTTTCATTTGTTCGATTAAAAACTTTTATATAAATATTTCAAAAAATTTAAAAATGAAAGAAATTTTGAGAATTGTTAAAAATTTCACATACAAAAAAAATTTTATTCATTGTTACAAATATAATCTTGGATACTTTTGGATAGAAACAGAAGGGATTCTCTAGAAAAAGAAAGATAAAAGTGGCCGGTTATTTTAAATTCAGAGAAAATCGAGGACCATAATGAAAATATTGAAAAACATTTGGGACTTTACTGATATTAACCAATTCTTATGGGAAGTATATTATCCACCACCTATTTATCAGAGAGAATCTCCTGTGATGCACAAACCGCCATGGGAGCCCACTCTCCCAGTCTCATTGTCACCAGCCCCTCATCTTCTTTTACTCCCTCTCCTTTTCCTTGTTTTTTCATTGACGACCACATAAATCTTTTTCACCTTCTTCTGCACCAGACTCTTCTTGACTGTAAACAATGTCTCTCTGTCATTCATTTAGTCTTCTCAATATTTCTTCCCCGCAGAGGCAAAGACTCAGAGCTTCTCAGTTTATCAAGCAAATTCAGGTAAAGTCTTTTCCTTTTGCTTTACCTGCCCAGAATTTATCACAGCACTATAAGTTTGGTAGAGAAAGAATCAATGGCGTTTTGGCTCCAGGAGTAGCAAATGTAGTAGCAGCCGCCTCTTCATCTTCATTCAGGAGTAAGAACCCAGAAGATGTTAATGTTTTGGTGGTGGGTTCAACTGGGTATATAGGAAAATTTGTAGTCAAGGAATTGGTTAGGAGAGGTTTTAATGTAATCGCCATTGCTAGAGAGAAAAGTGGAATTAGTGGTAGAAATGATAAAGAAGAAACCTTGAGTCAGTTGCAGGGAGCTAAGGTTTGCTTTTCGGATGTTACAAGTTTGGATTTTTTAGAGAGATCTTTGGAGAATTTAGGATACCCAATTGATGTTGTTGTTTCATGTCTTGCCAGTCGCACTGGTGGTGTGAAAGATTCATGGAAAATTGATTATGAGGCAACAAAGAATAGTCTTCTTGCTGGTAGAAAGTTTGGGGCTTCACATTTTGTGTTGCTTTCTGCAATATGTGTGCAAAAACCACTACTTGAGTTTCAGCGTGCGAAGTTGAAATTTGAGGCTGAGTTAATGAAAGAAGCAGAAGAGGATAGTGGGTTTACATACAGTATTGTGAGGCCAACTGCATTTTTCAAAAGTTTGGGGGGTCAAGTTGAGCTGGTGAAAGATGGGAAGCCTTATGTAATGTTTGGAGATGGAAAGTTGTGTGCTTGTAAGCCGATTAGCGAGCCAGATTTGGCTTCCTTTATTGCAGATTGTGTGTTGGGTGAAGATAAGATTAATCACGTATTGCCAATTGGTGGCCCGGGGAAGGCCTTGACACCATTGGAGCAAGGAGAGATGTTGTTTAGACTT